TAATCAGATATATTAACTGGTACTATGTTATTAGAGAATAGATAACATTTTATTTTTGTTAGAGTGATCGGAAGGCAGGGAAGGAGGATATAGAGAGAAACACCAATGTGAGAGACACCCATGGATTGGCTGACTCCCACACATGCCCTGACTGAGCAAGGGATCAGCCAGGGCAAGAACAGATAATATCCCATGGATCTCACTTTGAGTATTAATGAGTTCCTGTAGATGATTGTGTTTAGCTGAAGTGGTAGCCCCAAAAGAAATTAATCAGCCATCTAAGCATTGGCAGGCACTTCCTGAGACAATATTACCTGTTCTCGTCTTGGCTTATACAATAGTTTATTTCTCTTAGGTAAAAGAAGAGTACAGGGACATTACCTTAATTCAGTGGTTGGCAAACTCATTAGTCAACAGAGCCAAATATCAACAGTACAACGATTGAAATTTCTTTTGAGAGCCAAATTTTTTAAACTTAAACGTCTTCTAATGCCACTTCTTCAAAATAGACTCGCCCAGGCTGTGGTATTTTGTGGAAGAGCCACACTCAAGGGGCCAAAGAGCCGCATGTGGCTCGCGAGCCACAGTTTGCCAACCACGGCCTTAGTTCATGGCTTCCATTTTCAAGGTCACCTGGTATTCAAACATGCATGCTTGAGTTCCAGCCATCATGTCCACATTCCAGAAAGTAGAAAAGAGGAAGCCTCTTCAGAGAGCTTTCCTGAATATTCCACTCATATCTCATTGGTCTGATTTAGCCATGTGGCCAGCTATCCTCTTTGAGGCAGGCATATTGCTGTTCCTCACAAAATGGAGAACCCGTACGAAGGGAGATGAAAGAATGGACAATGGGTAGGGAAGTAGCAGCTTCTCCCCGCCTGACTTACGTTTGACCCAGTGAGATGCTGGAATTTGCCTTATCAAAAGCACATCCTAGTTCTTGGAGATTACATATACATTTACCCTTCCTGTCCATGGTGAGCAAAGAGGGATAAAGAAGATCGTTTGGCAAAAGAGACTAGATTTCTTATAGGCTGTCTAACCTGGGGACAGGTGGTATATTCTCAGTGGTGAGGTAGATAAATAATTTCCTAAGTGGGCCTTTGCCCAGGTATCCAGAGATTATAACTGTCCTCTGCTTCCTTATTTCAACCAAGGTTTTAGTCATGGGTAGGAAATATGTGGCGTGTTATCTTCCCCTCCTCCTTTCCTTATGGCAGTTTTTCCTGGTTAAGTTGGAACATGATCTCAGAATCCTTCTCAATATAATGTTCTCAGCAATTACTTTGGTCTAGATTTGTCATTGGTGTTTAAATCTACTAGCCATCTTTAATTGCTTTTGGGTTTTTAATCTGACAGTCTCTGGGTACATTCTTTAAATTATGGGATAAATATCTTATAGATGTATCCACCGAAGAAAAAGGTATACATTTATAGACATCAGGCTTGGCATTCTTCATAATTTAGCACTAAATGACTATAATCACTCATATTACTGTACATGTTCTCAATCTGTTCTTTTTACTGTTTATTGCACTATTGAGTTTCTCTAGGGCAAGACTATATCTTATCCATTTTTGTATACCCAAGGTGCCTGGCTTAGCACTCTTTCAAATGTTTTATCAATAAACAAATCATCTACATTGGTCAAGGTCAAGTGGCTACCAAAGTAAATGCTTTCCCATTAAGTAAGCTGTTACATTGTGAACTGCTTACCAGTGAATAGGAAAGGGAGGGGAGTCCTTATTTGAGGTGCTCATTGGGTGACAAGAGCATTGGTAATACAACAGAGTCTTGGTAATTTCACAACTGCTTTACAGACGCTGGAGTAACTGACATACTAAACTGCCTACTAGGTAGCCAGGAAAGGGCAGATATACTTTGAGCAGGTTTTTTCCTTTGTTCCTGAGCTTAGCCTTCTTCATTCTTTTGACCAAAGGTCCAGATCCTGGGTTAATGTGTCTCCGTGTATTCTAGGAGGTGATTCTGAGAGTTGTGCAAATGACAGATTCATATTTCATGGATATGTGTATAGCTGAAGTAAGACTGTACTTATTATGCTTCACCTAATTTAATGAAGTTGGTATATATTCACCAATTTTGTTTTTATAAGATCTTTAAACATTTAAGTTAATACTAATATCATTTGTTTGAAATATTTTGGTTCCATTAAAAATTCTGTTGGGGAAAAAAAAAAGCTACTACTGCTAAAAAAGGTGAAGAGCATTGACTTAACTAGCTCACCCAAAGTTCCATATAATGACCAAATTCTCAAACCCTGGTTACAAAGAAAGATGAAGGAAAAGAATTATATCATGATTCTTTTGGCTCAAAGAGCAGAGTTGGCTCTGATTAGATGCAGGCTGATGGTTTCTAAGAAGGCTAAATGTTTTGAGAGATCAGTAACCTTCCCTCTCCCCTTCCAGCCCCAAGCCTGGGCTATATCCATCTTACTGAGGAAGTGTCCCCACATTTACATTTACAAGTTATACAATGTCAGAGAAGGTGCGACTAAATTTCTGCATCAGGCTTCTCCTGGTTGACCCACTACTTACGCTGGTAAGAAGGATGGGGCCCACAGAAATTAACAAGCTCCATTCTCTCTTCTCCAAGTCTAGAACTAGTCCTAAGAGATCACTTGCAACTCCAGTCAGCAAAAGGAGAGAAGCAACACTAGTCTCTTTTCCACTCAAAGCTTCTGCACATCTCTTCTCTCATTATTCTAATCTGTTCCTGCTCCTGTCCTGTCCAGTAATACTTAGAGATGGGGGCAGGAGGCTCAGCTGGATGCAACTGAGAGGGGACTTTGTAATCAGAACCCTCCGGGTAGGCCATTTCTCAGTAGTCTCACCTTAGACAGATTTAATTTTTGGAACTAAAGCGTCTTTATTTGTAAAATGGGAGATAACAGCATAGGCTTATAAGTAAAAAATACTTAGCGCCCAGCTGGTGTGGTTCAGTGGTTGAGTGTCAACCTATGAACCAAGAGGTCACCCTTGATTGATTCCCCGTCACAGCACATGCCTGGGTTGTGGGCGGGATTCCCAGTGTGGGGCATGCAGAAGGCAGCAGATCAGTAATTTTCTCTCATCATTGATGTTTCTATCTCCCTCTCCCTTCTCTGAAATCAATTAAAAATATATACATAAATACTTGGCACAATGCCTGGCTTTTAGCAGGCATTGTGCCAAGTGACACTTTTCTTATTCAACAAGTGACACCTTTCTTAAAGGTATCTGTCTGCGTGGAGGAGTTTGATGAGTGTATGTGTGTAATGGTGTGGTGGTTGGCACTCAGCTAAACCACTGGTAAGGCTTTAGCACTTATCTTTCCTCCCCAGGACCACTGACCAAAAGTCATATATCTGAAAAAGTCCAACAGGTGCATTTCTAAGGGAAATACAGTGGGACTGTCAAAAAGAGGGAGGAGGGGGTGTGGGAACAGAAAAGTTCCTGCAGATCAGGGGCTGTCCCACCTTTTGGTTTGAGTCTGTGGCTAACCCCCACCCCCATGTCTTCCCTGCCTTCAAATGTTATTCCCACTTAACACTGCCCAGTGATCCCGAAGAAGAGAAACCTTGAGACAGACATGCTATCTGACTCCTCAGTGCCACCTGATCAACCCTCTTAAGCCCTTCAAACCTTATCAATTGCAAATTTTATGATTAAATAAAAATTATTTAATGTGCCTAAGTGAATATGCCATATACATATGGTTTAGTAATTGGGTGCTGATGGCATCCAGAATACAAAATATACTGATTTTCAGCCATCTTATCCACATTGTAGCCCTGAAAATCTGTATGTGCACACTCACTGACTTGTGGTTATATTCCAGTTCATCTTTCCTGGGCGGCAAGAGTGTCAGACTACCTTACTGAAGAGCTTTATTTTGCCTTGTTGCTATCTCTCCACTGCTTTTAGGCTTCAGAACTCTTCTACACTTCCTTTGTCATCTTGTTAACATCAGCACTTTGCTGCCATTTATATTCCAAGGACATCCGCCGCTTATTCTAACATTAATATTGTTGGTTCAAGGAGCTTTTAAAAAAGATGGCCTAATAAACGTATAAACATTACCAAGAGGGGCAGAACAGGTTTAAAAAAAGGCTGAATATCAAGAATTAAATGAATTAGTGTTTATAAAGCCTCTGGCACGATGTATACAGATGCTGATGCCACCTAAATATTAATTCCCGTACTTTTGTTCCCCTCACTTCATCTTTCTGTGCCTGTTTCCTAATGTTAAAAATTAAGAGCGTTGCACCACGTTTCCTCGTGTTGAAAATATTTTCCCCCTAGTCCCTCCTCACGGAGTGTTTGGAAGTGAGTGGGAAGGTTATTTCTGCCAAAACAGGCGGGGGCATGAGGTGAGGGTTCGGGCAGCCCCCTGCAGGCGCTCCCCTTTACCTCCAGCGGCATCCACCGCCCGGCCGGCGCCGCAGGGCTGCACGCAGGTAGCCAGGGGCGGGTCACCACCGCACCTCCTCGTCCGCGGGCACACGGTGCGGCCGACTCCACACTGAAGCAGCCCGGGCCGCCATCAGGTCCTCCGCAAAGCTCAGAGCAGAGGAGAGAGCCACCAAGGGCAGCTTCCTCTGAAAGCTTAACAAAGAAGACGAAGAAAGGCCCCCGACCCGACCCGTTCCCCGGGCTCAGCGCAGCCTCGGTCCGGAGGAAGAACATCGGGCCGGCCGCCGGGTCACCGGGCCGAACCCGCTCGGGGCGGATCTGCTTCCAGGGCAGCGGGAAGGGGCGGCGCCGGGCGGGGCGGGGCGGCGCCGAGCATCCTCCCGCACCGAGCCGCCTCCGCGCCGAGCCGGCCGCGCCGCACCGCCGCCCCCGCCGCCCCCGCCGCCGCCCCGCGGGCTCTCTCCGCCGCTCGCGTCCGAACGTCTCGCGGAGGCCGCCGCCGGGACCGGGCGCCGAGGGGAGGCGCGGGAGGCGGCCTGCGCGGCGCCCGCCATGGCCGCGGCGGGGTGAGGCCGGCGCGGCGGCCGCAGTCGCGCAGCCGGTGCTCCTCGGCCGCGGACGGGCCCGGGCGGCGCGGAGGCCGCGGGAGCCGCCGCCGCCGCTGGTCGCCACCGCCGCCCCGCCCGCCGCCCATGGCGAGCCCCCGCCGCCGCTGCTGACCGCGCTTCCGTCCGTCCCTGTGGCGGGCGGGCCTCTGCTCCGCGTCCGGCCCCGGGAGCCCGGCGGGCGCCGCGGGCGCCGGGCCGCCGACGATGGGGAACACTACCTCGTGCTGCGTGTCGTCCAGCCCCAAGCTCCGGAGGAACGCGCACTCCCGGCTGGAGTCCTACCGGCCCGACGCCGACCTGAGCCGCGAGGACACGGGCTGCAACCTGCAGCACATCAGCGACCGGGAGAACATCGACGGTGAGCGCGGCCGCGGGCCTCGGCCCCGGAGCCCTCGGGCCGCGGGCGGGGCGGCCTGGCGCCGGGCGGGGGCGGGGGCGGCCGGCCGGGCGGGGCGGCTGGGCCGGGCCTCGGCCGAGCTGTTGGGCGACCGGGCAGAGCCCGTTGGTTTTTTAAAAGGTGAACGGAGTGGACAGGTTTTGGCCAAACTGAGGATTGACTACCCTTTTGGGATTAGTCCCCCTAGAATTGGAGACTAGGGTTGGCCTGTGTCAACTCCCAGAAAACTTACTAATGGACTCCACTTCCCGCTTGGCTGTCCCCCACCAGCATTTCCTTTAAAAACGAAAAACAAAACCAAGGGGCCCCTTTAGCCCTCCCCCCGGAGGCGGTTGAGGGATTGGAGTCTAACTCCACCTGAATGCTTACAAAAATTTCTTTATAGTATCGTTAGAATGGTTTGGAAACAGTTTTGGGTAAAGTTGTCCGTTTTTGCTTGGGGCTGAATTACAGCTCTATGAATTCCTGATTGATCTGAGTGACTTTTGCTCTGGACTAGTGTTTGTAAAGGAAGTTGAAAAACTGATCACTGACCTAGTAAAGTTTATTTATTTTACTGTTGTTTTTTATCGATATCTTCATTAATACGATTTTATCAATAAGCTACTTGGCTTAATATCTACAGACGGGCAATTTATGCATCATGCTTAGAGTTTACATAATTTTCAACTTAAAAAAATTTTAAATATATTTTTATGACAACTTGATTTTTCTTTTTATTGACTAAAATTCTCTCAGTTGATGTGGTTGAACTAATCTGAAAAAAATTCTTGTATGAATAAATTGATTCAACTCTGCCATTCATTCTTGTCAACTTTAGAATAGAGTATTTCCTCTAGTGTGGAAAGCCAAATTTAAACTCCATTAAAGGAATGTTTGGCCTTTTAAAAATTCTTCTGAGTAGTGATTTGATTTCTTTAGGACAGCAACTGTATTCAGTGAGTACCACATATAAAGAGACCATTGCAACATCTATATACTATATAAAAGCCTAAGCCACTGGCCGGTAGCTATGACATGCACTGACCTTCATGTGGCAGATGCTCAATGGACAGCAAGATTGGGGAGTGCCCTCTCGCACTCCGGGACGCCTTGGGGGATGTTGGACTGCCATTTTCAGCATGATCCCCACTGGGCAGGCCGAATCCGTGCAGTGGGCCTCTAGTATTGTTTATAATAGGTGCTCATTAAATTAGAAGTTCCATATGACATTTCCAGTATTATTTTGGACTTCCATTATCTTAACCTATTCTTTAGATTTTTTTGAACTACATGAATACTTTATGTAATTTAAGGCATCTAAAGGATGTTACGAAGTATGTTTTGATCACTGGAATAGTCACAAACACCTGAAGTGTCTAGTATATAATAAAGAGTTAATAAGTATTGTGTTTTAAAGAAATGAGTGAGTGAATGAGTTTAATAAAGAAATCCATTACCCAGTCCTATACTGTCTTGGCAGGCAAAAACATTTTTATTAATTTATTTACTACATTTTTTTATTGTCTGAAGGTTTACATATATATATTTCCCCCCAATTGACCCCTCCCCCCAGCTATTCCTATCCCCCTGAGGGCAAGCCCCCACCATCCCAGTTATGCTAATATGACAGGCAAAAACATATGTCAATAATTTCTCCTTTATGCTGTGAACTAATACTGGGTAGAGAATTTATTATTTAAAAAGTGTTTTTATTGATTTTTAGAGAGAGAGAGGGGGAGGAAGATATCTGTGTGAGAGTGTAAGGTGGATCGGCTGCCTCCTGCAAGCCTCCTACTGAAGATGGAGCCCTCAAGCCTACCTTGTGCCCTGAGGGGGGAATCAAACCAGCAATTTTTTGGTGCAAGGGATATCCCACGACCAACTGAGCCATACCAGCCAGGGTGAGGCTTTATGTTTTAAACTAGAGGCCCAGTGCATGAAATTCGTGCACTGGGGGTATATGTGTCCCTCAGCCCAACCTGCACCCTCTCTAATCTGGGACCCCTCAGGGGATGTCCGACTGCCAGTTTAGGCCCGATTTGACTGCTGGTTTAGGCATAGCCCTCTCACAATATGGGATTGCTGTCTCCCAGCCTCTCTCCTGCCTGCCTGCCTGCCTGCCTGCCTGCCTGATTGCCCCTAACTGCTTCTGCCTGCTGGCCTCATGGCCCCCTAACCACTCCCCTGCCAGCCTGATCAATGCCTAACTGCTCCCCTGCTGGTCCAATTGCCCCCAACTGGTCCCCCTGTCCCCCACCAGCCTGATCGTTCGCCCTCCCCTGCCAGCCTGATCACCCCCAACTGCTCTCCCCCTGCTAGCCTGGTCGCCCCCAACTGCCCTCCCCTGCTGGCCATCTTGTGTGAGGGCGTGATGGTCAGTTTTCATATTATATAGGAGGATAATGGATTAAAAATACAAACAGAAGGAAGTTTCACATTTCTTAGAGCCAGGCTGTATTCTGTTAGTTTCTATAGTAGGGAAACACACACACACACACACACACACACACACACACACACACACACACAGGCTGTATACTGTTAAACTTATACACACACGCACACATGCATGCATGCACAGAAATTGTAACCAGCTATTTGGCAATAAGGCTTAGGAGGATTTTGCCCCAGAAAAATTGAATAGTATTGTGTGTTCTTGCACATGAAAGAAATCTAAATTTGGTCATCACGCACTTTTGAGAAAACATTTGGAAGATCACATTCTTGTTTTGTAGGTTTTAGCATAGTTTAAGAGACTAGGTCAGGTTAAGAAGATTTCTAATTTAGGCTGTGGTTCATACGATGATGCTACTTTAAACCCAGAAATATTTAAACAGTGTTTTCTTTGTTTCCCAAGCTCATGTAATACTCTGGGATTTACCTATCCAGCAGTTCTCAGCATTATTGTCAGTTAGCTCAGAAATATAGGACTGGGCCTTTGATCATGGTTAAAGCTCTCGAGGTAAATCTAAGATGCAGCCAGGATTGAGAATTGCTGCCATTGTTCAATGGCACTTTCCATAGAAATTTATTCTGTGTTAGAGGTTGGACAAGAGAACAGATTTAACTTAAAGAGGATGTGTGTACACATATATTTACATATACAGTATATGTAGTGTGTGTGTATATATTTTCATGTATATACATTGTGTGTGTGTGTGTGTGTGTGTGTGTGTGTATATATATATATATATATATATATATATATATATATATATATATATATATATATATGTATTAGAGGCCCAATGCCCAAAAATTTGTGCAAGAGTAGATCTTTACCCTGACTACAGGCACATCTTCCCTCTGACACCCCGGACCGGGCTGGCTTCCCTCGGGCCACCCACAGGCACCCGGGACCCTGGCTGGCTTCCCTCCAGTCCTGGCTTTGTCAGGAAGAACATCTGGAATGATGTCCAGTCTAATTAGCATATTACCCTTTTATTATTATAGATATGTGTGTGCATGCAGTAATGTTAGATGATTAGTAAACATTTTAAAACTACATAAATTATTTGTTAAATTTACCAGGGTAACAGCCTATGTAATAAAAGAGTTATATGCAAATTAACAATCACTCTGCTATACCCACCAGCCACGCCCACCAGCCAATCAGAGTGAGTATGCAAATAAACCTAACCAAGATGGCTACCAGAAGGGAGGCTTGGGTTTCCCAGGCAAGGGAGGAAGCCAAGCTTTCCACACACACTATCCACTCAAGGATACAAAGTTTCAATTATAGAAGGTAAATAAATTCCAGATACCAGGGCCTCCACTTGGGTTGCCAGGGGGTGTGGCTAGCCTGCAAACCACCACAGGCCCTTTGCCCAGGCCGCCCCACCCTGATCCGGGACACCCTTCAGGGCAAACCAGCTGGCCCCAACACGTGCACCAGGCCTCTATCCTATCTAATAAAAGAGTGATATGCCGATTGACTATCACTCCAACACACACAAGATCAAGATAGCTGCCCCTATGTGGTCAAAGATCCTTCCCCCATGTGGACACAAGATGGCCACCACAAGATGGCCAGCTGGGGAGGGCAGTTGGAGGCAAACAGCCCTGCAAGGGAGGGCAGTTAGGGGTGACCAGGCTAGCTGGGGCAAACAGGCTGGCAGGGGAGCAGTTAGACATAAGTTAGGCTGGCATAGGAGTGGTTAGGGTGATCAGGTTGGCAGGCAGAAGTGGTTAGGGGCAATCAGGAAGGCAGGCAGGCGAGCAGTTGGGAACCAGCAGCCCTGGATTGGAGAGGGTGCAAGCTGGGCTGAGGGACACCCTCCTACCCCCCCAGGAACGAATTTCGTGCACTGGGCCTCTAGTTAGTTAATAAAATTATGTAGGTTACATCTCAATTCTTGATTCTAGTACAGTATATAACAAGTACAGCATATAATAAAAGCTGAGGTGCTCAAGTACCATCATTCTTTTTTATAAAATATATTTTTATTGATTTCAGAGAAGAAGGGAGAGGGAGAGAGAGATAGAAACATCAATGATCAGAGAGAATCATTGATTAGCTGTATCCTGCAAACACAGCCCGCCCCTCCCGCTGCCCCCCCCCCCCCCCCCCCCCCCCCCCGGGATCGAGCCCAAAACTCGGGGCATGTGCCCGGACTGGGAATTGAACCATGACCTTCTGGTTCATAGATAATTGCTCAACCACTGAGCCATGCCAACTGGGTGCCATCATTTTTATGATCCAGACAACTAGAATGGAAAGGTTTAGAGAAGTTCATGAGGCTTCTGTAACAGGTTAGTTTCTTTTAAAACACAGATAAATGAACTAATGTATCCATGTTTTCCCTGTTCAAACACACATGGGTAATATTTGTTCCTTAGGATTTCAGTGATTGAGTTAAGGCAGTTAGGCTTCTGTCAGAAAGAAGCTTACCATGTCTTTAACTCAGTGTATATTAGTGTTAGATTATTAGTATTCATGTTTTTGAAATTTATATTAGACTCATCAGTTCCTTAGGTAT